TCTGTTTTTTGTGAAGTTTTAATCTTAAACCTAAATTTTAAAATGTTGGAAATTTTTTAAATATATATGCAGCACATGAACAAATTTGAAATGTAATTCCAAGAATTCAAAAATTAATATGTCTTTAGTAATGTATATCATCCTATCCTTATAATGTGAAGTATGCATGTACATACGCAATTATTCAGCAACTTTTTGAATCTTGACAAAGCTTGATGGTCCACATATCATTGGTATATATTAGAAAATTTCCTGAAAAATTTGTTAATTATATTTTTTGCCAAAATTTGATGTAATTTTTTTTCTAAATTAAACTGAACCATGAAATGTATATGATAACATTATATCTATATCAAGAAATTCTATTGCTAGGTTACACATTGTAAGAACATGACCTTTAAAAAAGGATTAGATGTGAAAAGAAATAAGGTTGTGTGATGGCATTCCATATAATGACCCCCTACATCTTAATCTGTATTAATAATATGGGACCTTATACTACCATTCTAAGGACTACCGTTCCTGTCGCATAAAGGTGCCTGGACTGCTGATAATGTAAAACTGCTTAGTCATCCTAGTTCTGAGTTGCATGAAGACCAGAACTACATGTGTACATACATGTAGACCCATTGTTAGTTTTAATGACAGAAACATGAAACCTGCAGATGTTTGCAAAGAAAAAAATATATATACATTCATCAAACCAGTATATATATTACATTTTTAATTAACTTTCATAAAAATTTCTCATTAATCCATAATTCATTGATGCGGTCTTTTATTCAATTACTCTTCTTTTTGTACACGAGGGTCTCATTGGGTATTTTCCTTTCCCATCAGAGCCATTTTAAATTCTCCTGATATGTGTGAAAAGTTCATATCATTAAGCATGGTCTTAAGAGAACCCCATTCCCATGACTCATAAATACAGTTTTTTTTCTTTGTCATTCATGAAAACAATGTCATTATACTTAGTGTTTTGCTGTTACACTCATAATAACATTAACGGTCCCTCTCAGTGATGAGTATTTAAATGTAAAGATTGTATTATGCCTTTTTGAGTGTATGTTTATCTATTTTTATTTACACTGCAATATGTCATGAGGATATTCCCGAACAACAGACAATGCAGCAGCAGAGCCCTAGCTGCTCCTGCATGCCCCCCCCCCCCCCTCCCAGTGCCCCCACTCACGTGTACATCTCAGAGATACACTGTACCACGGATGGCAGTGGAACAATCTCTGTTACATTATTCTGTGGCACATGTTCAAAATTGCACCTATCCACGTGTTACGAGCGCATTACTGCCATTCATAATTTACCCGATTTACACATTCGTACAGAAAAGGGCTACTGCACCGACTGTGCAGTGATCTTAGTCTAACAGTGTGCGCCAATAGAGGGATTTCATGCATAAACTTACAAGATCTATATATATACTTTCACGTTGGTAATTATCAAAATTTGTCGTTTTCTGTCCAAACTTACCTTCAGTCAAATGTTCTTCCCAAGAAAAATGCGAAAAGAAAATGTGCACGCATCGTTGGTTGAGATCAATTGATCAGTTATACAACATGGAAACACGTGCTAGATGGAACGTGTGAAAGAAAAGCTCCTTGCCTCGTCCAGCAAGCGGGAAATGACCATGAATAAAAGACCACACTATAGAATAATTATAGTCCTGAAAATTGTGCTAACAGAAAAGCTACCAATTAGATTTTAGATAACTATTAATGTTATTAATAAATGAACTCGTAACGTTAACGCTAGAAAGCTAGATAAAACCTGTATATCTGTTTTAAAAATCGCTAGTGCAAACAGTTTATTGCACTTTTCTCAGATATAGCCTCCCATTAAAGTTTAGTTCAATGAAAGGACTTTCGGAACCATGAAGCTTTCAACCTTCCAACTCCCGAGGACGGAGCAGGTGATTGAACAAAAGAGGACAAGATTAATAGCGCCATCTATCGTCTTTCTTCCTAAAATGGCCACAGACACAGAGTCGAGAGATCTTGAGTCTGTCCCGAATTTGAAAATATCTCGAAGTGAAAACCCAGAAATTGAGTTATCATTTGAAGAAGTTGAAAATTTGTATGTTTTTGACCAAACAGGAAACAAAATTAGGTTTGGAGATATATATGCAAACCAGAAAACCATCGTAGTATTTGCTCGGGTAAGCTAAACGATTTGTTCGGCTTTGTATTTGTTTGTTTGGGTGTTGCTACATACAGTGTAGTTTGGTTTCATCCTAGGTTTCATCATTCAGAGTTTACATGAGACACAAGTCTGTCATCAGCTTACTTATTAATTTCAGTAGCGAGGACATTACTCAAAGTCACCACACAAGTTCATTATCAAAAGTTAAAAAAATATATCACAGTTATATTGTGTACATACATGTATGTGTGTGTGTGTGTGTTATGGGGGGGGGGGAGAAATACTAGTACACTATCATACTGCAATATAGTGACCTTACTTAATCCTTACCCAACAGTTAGTCCTGAATGCAGGGCCTTAAACCCCTGTTAATTCTTTATTTTTGGAGGTAATATTTCTACCTTTATGGTATTGAGATAGTTTTGTATTGTTTTATGTTGATAATTATGCCTATCTGCCTATCTAATATACTTTGTTTGTGTTGTATTGTTTTATGTTGATAATTATGCCTATCTGCCTATCTAATATACTTTGTTTGTGGATGCTCTTTATGAAAATCCTCCATGTATATATTATTTCCATTGTCTGTATCCCTGTCAATGCTGCCACTGGTCTCCGTCCCCTTCGCTATGCAACGATATCCGTTGTCACCCTCAGCTAGTCTACCCTATGATAACAAAACCCTATTTCTGTTTTATTTCAAATATACTGGGTGGTCTTTTTCATATTTTATGAAACTCTGTTGTAAGTTTATGGCTTATGGGAATGGTAACTAAGAGCAGATATGCAGGTTAATATTGATAGAATGCTTTGGCTGCCAGCTTAATCATTTAATGAATCTAAAATGTGAAACCACATAGTATGACCTTTATAATTCTACATAAGACCAACAGTCAGCTAGTATTTTATAACAATAAATTTATAAGTGTGTCATGTCCAGGACAGACATTAATTTATCTTTTTATTTGACTAACCCAGAAATCCTATGCACCCATAGTTTTTTCAATTAATGATACAAAATACATCTCCATTTCAGCACTTTTTGTGTTACATGTGCAAAGAATACGTGGAAGGTAAGCACTCCTTGCAGTTATTTTATCTGTTTACCTGAAACTGATTTGAATACCTGTAGGATGTTTTTTTTTCTTTCAAGTTATAATACTGTATTAAACCCAGAGATACCTACAACTTAGCTTATTCATGAAAAGAAGCCTTCTCTACGAGTCATATGTTATAGTTAAATCAAGAAAGCTCATAAATGCAATTGCAAGCAACTAACCCAGACAGAAAGTCAACATTTGATAACACCAGACAACAGAATTACTTGTATACAATTTAAAACTTTTAATAAAAGTCTCTGATAAGTGTCTCTATGTATTCACCTGATTGTATTATATGATGTATAGTTTAGCAGTCCAATTGTGTGCTTTCACTGATCTCAGGTGATATACTAAATGATTTAGAAAATCCACAAAAAAAGGTCTTTATAACATTTATTACTATTGTTTTTTTTCAGACTTAGCCAAGATACCCCTAAATACTTTAAAGGTAGGTTGAAGACAAAAATACAGTCCAGTTTGTTTAACTTAGTGCATATTTAGTGCTTCATAGAGCCTATTCAGAACAGGTTGATCCGCAGACTTGGCCTCTACAAATCCACGAACTAAATATGGCGGACGTACATGAAAGAAAAACCGCCTAATCTTTTAATAGTCTCTCCGCCTCTCACACGCCTCCCCACGCGTCGTCCCTGCGGGGGTACAGTCATTAAATCTCGGCTCCGTTCGCCATGCGGGGCTGGGTATCTCAGTGAATATCTCTGTGAATATCTCTGGTGACATTATCTCCGTAGAGAGCCGATTCATTGCTGCTCTACGGGGCAATTCATTCCTTTTTCATCTCTGTTTTGAAAGATAATAGAAGTGAAGGGCTTTTTTCCTTCGATCACCTCCAGCCGCCATGCTTTCTTCACCTCGAGTTTAATTGATGAGCATGCGCACTTAATATTTCTCAGGTAGCTTTCGCATGGCAAATGGAGCCGAGATTTAATGACTGTACCCCTGCCAGGGACGACGCATTGGGAGGCGTGTGAGAGGCAGAGAGACTATTAAAAGATTAGGCGTTTTTTTTTTTTTCATGTACGTCCGCCATATTTAGTTCGTGGATTTGTAGAGTCATGGCTCAACTCATGAATGCGGTCAAACATTTACAGGTTTTGGGACTAAATATGGCCGACTCACATAAAGGCAGTGCCAACTAATTCTTTGATGGTCTCCCCATCTCCACATGTGCCATTGCTGCAGGGACCTTGCAATGAAACCTCGGAAATGAGATTTAATCTGTTTAATGGCGCGTGTGGAGGCGGGGAGACCATCAGATGATTAAGTGGTGCTGCTTTGAAGTTCAGTTGGCCATGTTTAGTCATTAGATCAGTTAGTCTGATGATCATCTGTTCTGAATGGCCTCATAGAGATCACTATCAACATGAGCTGCAAGTTACTTTGACTTGACCTAAATTCTGTATTTTTTAAGATTAGAAAACAATTTAATCTCGGGTTTCTAATAAAAGAAAAAAGAAAAAACTGAATACACTTGCCAGCAAATTAATCGCTGTTTGTTTCAACAGGATAAGAATGTCAAACTTGTGGTAATAGGATGTGCACCATGGAAATTTATCAAGGTGAGTGGCAAATTGTATCTTTATGCACATGCATATATACTATGGCTAGTTGGTTTTAGTTTACCTTTTTGTAGAAATTATGATTACATATGCAGCACAGGAAAGACTTCTTTACAAATTTTACATTGAACAGAACTTTTTAAGATAAGAACATATTGTAAGACATGCTATGCATACCTTTGATAAATTTGTGGATTTTCACATCTTCCTGTTTAGTCCAATGTGGGAATTACTTATTAAATTCAAGCAAATGAATAACATTATTCAAAACAATTTTAGCTAGTAGAACATGAAAATGTTGACTAGATCTTTTGAAAAGTGAATTTGATTGATAGCAAAAAGTAAATATATTTTTGTGAGTGACTTAAAATGCTATATCTTGAAAAAAAAATACTGGTAAGAGTGAGGAGCTCTAAAAGTAAATATAATCAATTACATTTTAATGCCTTTATTGCTTTGTAGCATTTCAAACAAGAAACAGGTTACCAGTATGACATGTATTGTGATCCAGATAGGAACATTTACAAGTGTCTCAAATGCAAGTGCGAAGCCAATCATACCAGAAAGGGTAGGATTCCACTGAAGAGATTTTTTTCAATATTTTAGTTGAAAAATGATATAAACAATATTATCTCATATTATCTAGTTTTACAAATAAGTTGATTCATAACAATAATATGCCATCTCCTCTTGGTAGTTTTGTCCTATTTTTGTACTGGTAAAATAAAGATTAGTTTTCCAAGGTCTTGGCAATCTTTCTGGTAAATTGTTGATGGAAACATACTGAAAACAGTGTACATATAATATATTTGTACCATTGTGTCATTTGCTGCATTCTAGTGGTAAACAAACATATCAAGTCCAATGCTATAAGTGGAATACTAAAGAGCACATGGCGTGCTATGCAATTTCCCAATGAATGGCAGGGGGATCCAAGTCAGATGGGAGCCACATTCATCCTCGGGCCAGGTAAGCGGTTTGATAATAACTGCAACTTTTCAAAAATGTCCCAGGAAATGTTTGAAGCTTACACTGTTTAGGAATGATGTTGAGAATTAAAGTAAATTTATTTTTCAGTGAGATATAAAACTCTGCTATGCTCTTCATATGATAGGTTTAAATCTTGTGTATGTGTATTATGCACATTTATGTTTATGTTTGTTTGTATCTTCATTTTGAAATGCAAGAGAATTTTGTCATTTTCTGTTGTCAATTATCATTTCTCTTCAATGACAGTTTATGTCACTTTTATATTCAGATGTAAATTTGTATTTAGCTTTGTGTCTTTCTTTTTATTTTAAGGTTCAACTGTACACTTTTCACACCTTGATGGTAACTCGGCAGACCAAGTGGCAATTAATGACTTACTGATAGAGGCAGGCTGTGATACTGTGGACTTTGAGAAAGACCAAAGAGTTATTCATGTTTAAGAATTAGTTGCAAGACAGGAGTCATGTACAGCTCCAAATACAAAGTTCGTCATCACTGCAATCTATTTCATATGATACTGGGACAAACATGGCATACTTGTAGGTCTAAACTGAATTATGTTTAAGGCACGGAAAGTAAGGATGAACTTATGATTTATATCAAGTGGAATTTATAATTATTTAGTAATGTATTTTTTCTCTATGATATCACACAATATTGGATAAATGTATTTTGGCACTGAAATGTTTCAGTGTTGTGAATTGAAAATTGTTTACATCACATCTGCTTTTGCAGGAACAGTGGCAAGGTGCTTTGGTGTCAACCACACTGATATTGTTCACAGAAACTACTCATGTAACAGTAAGCTTAAATTTTATGGGTATTATTTGAAGGTCAACCTTGAGCTTCAACACCTAGTCATGCAAATGTCATTGTATTTTGTATGCATATATCTGAGAAATTATTTAAGATATCTGTGATATGTTTTTGGCCTTGCCTGAACCTGGACGGCATGGCAATTTATCTCTGGTACAGTTAACAACCAATAGAAAATAAAAAAATCTATTCACACCGTTGCATTTTTAAATTGGATGCCAGCATACAAATTTATTGAAAACCCTAATAAAAGAGTGTATAGATAAATAAACAAATTGAAAAAATAGGGTTTAGACTGTAGGTTACCACTTTCAAGGTACATGCTCAGGATGCAGTCCCACACCTCTGAGCTTCCAGTTTTGATGGCTTTTAAGGAGTATCACTGAAAAAATTCAGTTATCTAAAATGTATGGCCAATATTGTGGTTAAAGTGGTTATATGTAAAAGCATTGCTGTATCTGTTATTAATTGTTAGAATGAAGATGAATTTTAGTAGAATTGATGAATTGTACGACAGATTGTGCAAATTAGATTAAATTGTAAATGTTCATATATGTGCAACAATTTTTTTTATACTGGTGTTTTTAGATTATTTTAATGTGATGATTTATATCATAGCTTCTACCAAAATAGTATGTGGTAAAATAATTCATTACTTACTTTTTGTACTTTGTAATATTTTAGTGTTTTTATGGTTAATATTTTGCTTATAACGCAATTACATGTCAATATATATATACTATTACGTTGTATGTTCTACCTAAAACTGTTTCTGAGTAAAGTTTGACTTTTGGTATTTCCACTTATTTTTGTCATTTAAATTTGGATGTGAGGAATACTTAAATGTGAACAAATATCATCAATGTCCACTTAACAGGAATCACTGTGCTCAATTAGTCCTTTAAAACATCTTTGCTTCAGAACTTAAAATCGTGTTGTACAATGTTATGTGAGGAGGTGTGCTTATCCTTAAAAGACCATTCTTGCGAATTGTGCTTGTAGGGACCAATACACACCAGCAGCCTTGCTCTAGTTGTAAAGCACAATCACCGTCTCAACCGAAAGGCAATTACTAAATTGCTTCTTACCTCCAAATACCAAAGAGCTATGTAAACACGCGGGTGAAACTTCAACATTCCAAACATTATCATTCAGTATTTTCCCATTTTCATTGGTCCTTATGTTTGTTTTCTGAATCAGGAATGACCGACTTTGAAGATTCTTCAGGTAAGCGGCAATGCACAATGAGGTGCACCGAGTATTGATTAATTAATGGGGTCTTATAGCGCCTGGTAGTTGATCGATGGAAATATGGCTTCCCCTTACTTCAAAGTTTCAATGCACCAATAGCAAACGTTACGCCTAACGGAGGCTTGAAGATAAAAGAAATTGGATTGGTCCATATGGATATGTATCGTGCTGCACCTGCGCCCTGAGATTGATCAGTATTGTCTCATAGAGTATAGCTGACTATGGGTTACCATCGGCAAGAGCTAGATAAAATTATTTCCCGGAACTACGTCTTTTCTGCTGGCAAATAGTCAATTTAAAACAAACGCACAAACAATCATGCACACAAACACCTGCCCATTGAAACCTTGCATTTACTTTGTGAGAGTAATTATACCCTGTTGCTGTTATCTTCATAAACGTGGTATATTTTTACACTTATCATTACACCGGAATGAAAAAACATTTTAGCATTTGGTAAATGGACCAGTAGTATTTGTGAGCATTATTGAACCAAATGTGTTTTCCCTTTTCATAGCAGCTATGTCTAATAGGTTGTAGTTAGGGCAAACCAGGGCATTGATTTCTACACATCCTGCTATTATGTTGTGTCTGTGCTTTGAATACAAGTTAATTGATGATAATAGACTAAGTTGTGTGTGGATCTTCCTACTGATAGGAATACAGTATGTTGTGCTTTTGTGAAGAAGAAATGTGACAGTGTGTTAGATGTGATCTTTAGTTTCTAGACTGAGTAGAAAAAATGTTATTTTAGGGAAACGCTGATGAGTCAAATGTGGAATAATAGTTTAAACATGTAGTATCAAAAAGACATTGAGATATTAAAGTCACTATATAGGATGATACTTACACATTGTATTGACATTTTGTAGAATATTTGATGAATATATTTCAGCATAGGTCAGTTGTAAATACACAGTTTGAGAATGTACAGCAATGTTTTTTCTGTCATGTTCATTAAAAAGTCTGCGTAATGTTTGATGCTTTGTTCGCCAAGCATAAGGCAGCATTGTTTTCAGCATTCTTTGCCTATTGATTGGCATCAGTTGACTACATGCTAAGGCAAGTTTATACAATAGATTGGTAGGAATATCAATAAGATAAGAAGTATGCTCACATTTCAACAAATGAATAATTCACCAGTTTTAGTATGGATCTGATTTGATAGCTGTTAAGTTTCCAGTGAAATGCTCTACCTTGTAGCTGAGCCACTTCAGCTCCTTGATGAAAACTCGGTAGCCTGGGTTATTATATTTGGAAAAAACTTGATATCCCATGTGTGTGTGGAAAGTGCTTACAGATGTATTCCAGTCCACTGAGGAAATTATGAGACATAGCAAGTGGCTTTTTTTTTAAAACAAAAATATGATTTGCTGAGTATGTTCGTTGAATGTTTAATGAGACCTGCTAGGGTTAACGATATGCTGTTACTGTGGAAACCAGAAACATGACGATTGGCATTATTTCATTGTTTTCTTTTTTTGGAGTCAAGTTCATTTTGATGAGCATGTCAATTATGAATGGATGACAGCATATGACAAGTAATTGGATTCTCTTCACAAAGCAATGTTGCAGGAAGAATTAGGACCCCTGGATTAATGTAGTTGTGTCTAGGATACTCAGGAAACAATTTTGTCATCAATACTGGGCTCGATATTCCTTGAAAGAGATCATTAAGAAGCAATAGCAAATAGTACTTCAGAATTTTTTTCATCAAGTTTTTCATTGTGTACGTGGAAGTGTATAATGTAATTTATCTGGATGTGATGTGAAGTTGTTCAGCTCACTGGTCATGCCAATTTAACAGTAAGCACAATTTGTGGTACTTTCACATTTATCACTGTTGATGTTAAAAGACTGAAGGGAAGCCTTCAATGAACAGGTGACCTATAGAAATACATTTATCATTTGGGTTTTGTGTGAATCTCTATAAGTAATGGCAGCCTAGTAGTGTTTCTCTGAGACTATGCATTTTTCCAGAAAATATTTGAAAAGCATTCTTGCCTACAAATAATGCAACACATTGAAAACTGTACATTTGAAACTATAGTCTATAAATCAATGATGCTTCTGTAACTTGAAGTGCCTCAAAGAGAACTTTCCTACTGAAACTGCCACACTTGATACTTAAAGACAGAGACAAAGTAATTCCACTTTTATTATCAGTCTAGAAACTAGATCCTTGGTTCTAAGAAATGTTGATTATATTCTGCACNATTTTTACACTTATCATTACACCGGAATGAAAAAACATTTTAGCATTTGGTAAATGGACCAGTAGTATTTGTGAGCATTATTGAACCAAATGTGTTTTCCCTTTTCATAGCAGCTATGTCTAATAGGTTGTAGTTAGGGCAAACCAGGGCATTGATTTCTACACATCCTGCTATTATGTTGTTTCTGTGCTTTGAATACAAGTTAATTGATGATAATAGACTAAGTTGTGTGTGGATCTTCCTACTGATAGGAATACAGTATGTTGTGCTTTTGTGAAGAAGAAATGTGACAGTGTGTTAGATGTGATCTTTAGTTTCTAGACTGAGTAGAAAAAATGTTATTTTAGGGAAACGCTGATGAGTCAAATGTGGAATAATAGTTTAAACATGTAGTATCAAAAAGACATTGAGATATTAAAGTCACTATATAGGATGATACTTACACATTGTATTGACATTTTGTAGAATATTTGATGAATATATTTCAGCATAGGTCAGTTGTAAATACACAGTTTGAGAATGTACAGCAATGTTTTTTCTGTCATGTTCATTAAAAAGTCTGCGTAATGTTTGATGCTTTGTTCGCCAAGCATAAGGCAGCATTGTTTTCAGCATTCTTTGCCTATTGATTGGCATCAGTTGACTACATGCTAAGGCAAGTTTATACAATAGATTGGTAGGAATATCAATAAGATAAGAAGTATGCTCACATTTCAACAAATGAATAATTCACCAGTTTTAGTATGGATCTGATTTGATAGCTGTTAAGTTTCCAGTGAAATGCTCTACCTTGTAGCTGAGCCACTTCAGCTCCTGGATGAAAACTCGGTAGCCTGGGTTATTATATTTGGAAAAAACTTGATATCCCATGTGTGTGTGGAAAGTGCTTACAGATGTATTCCAGTCCACTGAGGAAATTATGAGACATAGCAAGTGGCTTTTTTTTTAAACAAAAATATGATTTGCTGAGTATGTTCGTTGAATGTTTTATGAGACCTGCTAGGGTTAACGATATGCTGTTACTGTGGAAACCAGAAACATGACGATTGGCATTATTTCATTGTTTTCTTTTTTTGGAGTCAAGTTCATTTTGATGAGCATGTCAATTATGAATGGATGACAGCATATGACAAGTAATTGGATTCTCTTCACAAAGCAATGTTGCAGGAAGAATTAGGACCCCTGGATTAATGTAGTTGTGTCTAGGATACTCAGGAAACAATTTTGTCATCAATACTGGGCTCGATATTCCTTGAAAGAGATCATTAAGAAGCAATAGCAAATAGTACTTCAGAATTTTTTTCATCAAGTTTTTCATTGTGTACGTGGAAGTGTATAATGTAATTTATCTGGATGTGATATGAAGTTGTTCAGCTCACTGGTCATGCCAATTTAACAGTAAGCACAATTTGTGGTACTTTCACATTTATCACTGTTGATGTTAAAAGACTGAAGGGAAGCCTTCGATGAACAGGTGACCTATAGAAATACATTTATCATTTGGGTTTTGTGTGAATCTCTATAAGTAATGGCAGCCTTGTAGTGTTTCTCTGAGACTATGCATTTTTCCAGGAAATATTTGAAAAGCATTCTTGCCTACAAATAATGCAACACATTGAAAACTGTACATTTGAAACTATAGTCTATAAATCAATGATGCTTCTGTAACTTGAAGTGCCTCAAAGAGAACTTTCCTACTGAAACTGCCACACTTGATACTTAAAGACAGAGACAAAGTAATTCCACTTTTATTATCAGTCTAGAAACTAGATCCTTGGTTCTAAGAAATGTTGATTATATTCTGCACACTACTCAGTACACACTGGGTGGTGAGGAAGAGCCCATGGATAAGATATTATGAAACTGTATGATAGAACATCATGCTACGGTTGTCTGGTTCTGTGATGCTGCTTCTTACAAACTGGCTGTGACAGCTTCTAGGCTATCCTCCTGTGCAATTTTATCACAACACAGTGGCAACATTTCAGTATTTTGATTCATTAGTTCAGTGTTTTGTTTGTAAGAAGCACTAGTTCTTCGTGCTGGAAAAGACACAGCAAACAAACATTATTCATATCAAGTCACAGGGGAGTTCTGAAAACTGCTGCTTACAGGACCATATACAGTTTAACCCACACCCAAGGCAGACATGTATTGTCATACTTTTGCAAGTATTCCAGCAGACGGACACCATCACGGCCATGGGGGTCATCATGGGGGTCATCATGGGTCTTCTCACAGTACTGGCGGAGACCATCATTCCCATGGACACCATTCACATTCTCACCATCATGGTGATAGCCACCACTCACCTCGCTCCCACGGGACAAAATTACAAGATAAAGTCAATGGGACGGTGGTCAAAGTACGTGGTGACAATCATAAGAAAAAGGGCGACAAAAAAAGCAAGAAAAAAGTCAATCGTGTACCTGTGAATGCAGATCTGGATGGAAATGTCAGTTGTTTTGGGTGCTTTCCAAGCAGAAAAGGTAGGCTTTGGTTTAAAAATATAATGAAATCATGTGTATGGCTAAAATTCATCATGAGCTCTGATATGAAGGCTCAAGTTAAAGTCAGTAAAGTGGATGTCTTTTCAAAGTTTATGATAGTCATCAGTTGGCTATCGGTATATGTTGAGGCAAGATTTACAATAGTTTGGTTTTAAGAACTGTTGAATTGTGTTACGTGTATGTGTGTTTGTGGTTATCATATAGCTTTACTTGTCATGGATTTTACCAGGAAATAGCCTGTTGGCTTGTCATTTGTCTGGGGAAATTTGTCAGTAGAATGCTGTTTGCATTGTAAAACACTGGTTTAATGTGTTTATTCAGAAACCCATTGATTTTTTTGTCCAGGTGCTTTTAAGAAATCCGAGTAAAATTAATGAAGGATATTTTCCAGAAAAAGAATAGTAGGACCTTGCTGAAACTTAAGTGATAGTTATACATGCTAGTGCAAAAAACAGAGATATTTAGGGGATGTTTTGAAAAGATATGCTTGTTTTGCATAGATTTCATAATGGTCGACTTGCATTCCATGTAGATGGTGAACATTGATGGAAACCATTCTATTTCCAAAGAGAAAAATGCATAAAATAATGTTTATATAGGATTTGAATGAAATGAATCAATGTTTTGTCTGTTTTCCAATGCTTTCCCCTTTTTCAGACTCTGCATCTGATGTATATTGTTTCCAATAAGCAGTTTATGTGACCCCCAGTACAGCTAACTAGTTAAAGAGCTTTTATTCATTTTTACAATTTGATGACTTTGAGGGTGTCAGTCTTTGTGACAAAATAATGGAAGATAATATGAATTTGGGTTTGAAAAGTGATAAGAGAAAAGAGAGAGAATATAGCTACTGTTTTTCATTTCCTCATTTTTTTCATTTCAACATATTTTTCGTGAACAATTGATCAAGCAATTACCTGAGTACAATATATCCCATAGAATTGTAGATGCAGACCTAATCATCCATCGTGAAGTGTCTCACATTAATAAGGCACAGTCATATTGATTGAGCTATAGGAGGATCTTTACAGAGGCAAGCATAGTGAGAGTTGTGTGTGGTTGTTAGCCAGCTAAGAAAGTCAGCTGGGAAATGTGCTGGTTCAGTTTTTCTTCTGGGAAGTTCTTTATTGTCAGCCATTCATGATATCCTTGGTTTTTGTAACCCGTGGTCATCTATTGAACGGAAAACTCCAGGAGGAATTTGTCATGATTAAGATGACATTTCTGTGAGGTGTCCTGGGAATGAAATGGAGAGGAGACAAAATGGTGGTGAATGAGTCGAGGCTTATGTGGGTTTCAGTTTTTGAGCAAGAAAATTATTTTCTGTCATTGGAATTAGCATTACTTTGCATCTCATCGGAATTGGTGCTGTTCTTTGGTATGATTGTTTTAGAGGAACATTTCAACTTTGTTAGCACAGCATTGGACGGAATACCAGGTTTCTAGACGCACCAATTGCATTCAAAATACAGGGCACATGATACTGGCACATGTGTGTGTGTGTCTGTATGTGAAAACAGAAGCACATGGAGCATCTGTGTGTATTTTTCCTGCCTCTATACCATAGAGGATAAATGTTATGGAGAGGCATTATAAGATGTGTAATATCCATATGTCATTGTCTCTGTGCACATCAGGAGCTCATTGTTTTACATATATATATAGACAGCCAAAAGTAAAATCCATCCACTGGCTGGCAGAGTTCTGTGCAGCACTACCAGAGCCATTCTGTAGACATGTGTTATATCGGTGATATTGCACTAATCCCTTCCTGACTGTATGTGCCTACTTCGGACTGTGTACACACTCACAGGCTGGTGATAAGAGATATATTGGATGCTAGATACCTTTCATATGGGCACTGAACTGTGCTTATTACATGATATTATGAGGCTCGATAGATACAAAATCTGAACTGCTGGAATATGGTTTATGAAACTTAATTATATTGCGACCAGTGACACACACTGACTTGTACTTGGGACATCTGTGGTACACTGACACTTTGTAATGTTTCTGTGCCTAAGACATACAACTACACATTGATTGCTGGAACAGAAAATATTTGATTAAGTATCAGTTGCAGCCAAATCTGTTTTGCTCAAAGACAGCCTGATTAAATTTTTGCAGCCTTTCATTGCCAAGTATGAGATAACAAACCACAGATAGCATTCCCTAGATTATAAGGTGTCTTTTATGAGAGAAAGTACCTAAGACTCCTGCGAAAACAAAACATATAGATACAAATACATCAATATACAGTGAGAACTCTTATCCACAGGGGTATTCTGATGGATGGTATGAATTAGTGCTTTAGCAATATTCTGATATGAGTGTTGTGTACTTACTGAAAAAGTTGCCTTATGCCCAGTATGAGGTCAGTATTTTAAGGCAAAATGCATGGACAGGATGTATATTTTTCTAACAAGAATTTTCACTGTAACTTCCTGACTTAAGTACTTTCGACTTAAAAATTGCAGTTTCCTTATAGCGGCTGATGAACACTGACCATGTGTTGACGACACTTTGAGAACACTCGACATTTTCTCTTTTTCAAGTATTACGCTGTGCAAGATATACAGGATTTATAATGTTGTCATTGAATTATTCACAACATGACTTTGGTGATGTTATTCAGAGTATCAACAGTGAACTCCTAGAGAGAGGTGAGTTATTTACAGAGTGTTTGCCTGTAGCACTGTCTGAAGTACTGGTATACTAAACAGATATGGCTAGCCATTCCATAGTGTTTTTATTCCCGCAGTGCGGCTTACCTTTTGTAAAACTTTTTGCCACTTCTTTCCCACTAGTTTAACTTGATAAATTGAAATTAGGAACACATTATTATTATTATTAATATAGATATTATTATTATTATTTGTTATTATTATTATTGCCATCATTATTACTATTTTATTTCATTATTCAACTGATATGAAATGATGAAAAAAAAATTTGGAAGAAATATGAGATTTAGGAGATGAAAATATTTTAATGTGGTTCTTGTAGTGTAAGACATTTTCTGTATATTCTTTGTGTTATGATTGTGTATTGAAGAAATAAACTGAATAATGGTATTTTTTAGAGTTTCCCAACAGAATATATCTTGAGAACATGAGAACATATGCACTGGGTATTAGAATTGATTTTTCCATATACACGTATGGTTTCATAAATGTAGTATATATAATGAAAACTACATTTTCCCTACGAACTTACAAATTAGGTTTTTGCTCATAATGAAGGAGTTCCATGGTTCGAGAATCCTAATTAGGTCTATTCATTATTCGAGCTGCAGTCTGCCTTATTCATTGTTACATACTACTGCATTGCTCATAATATATTATTGATTGAAACAGAATAAATCAATCAAGTTAGGTATTGATTCATAAGTTTGTTTTGGTTCTGG